CTACCTGAAGGGGAAGTAATGCAGGTCCTGATGCAGTGGGTGGCGGGAAGTGCGAGTGCCGGGATCTGGAGGCTTGTTAATCAACATTGTGTGCATGGCCATGATGTCTGGGCCAGTGAAGCATTCCACATAGTCCAAAATCTGTGGACAGTGGAGGTGATTGGGGTGAGATTAGCGTGTGGCTGTTGCTGGTACTACTTTCATTTTCATTACAATTGTTAATGGTTGAAACAAATAAATGTGATAGACATCAAATGTCATATAGCACTATGGTAATGTATTGTGGTGAAAAGGGTAAAAATGAGTTAACGTTTAGGATGTGTTAAATGTCAAAGGGTATAGAGTATTAAAGGATGATAGGGAAAAGGGTAGAGGGGGTGCAAATGAAAAAAATCTGTGATTAGTAAATTAAAAGGTTAAGGGCATAGGATAATTGGATGAAATGTAGTGTATCTGTGGCTGGGGAAGCTATAGGAACATTTTTTAAAGAAAATTAGCAAAAGAGCTATCATGAAAACAGTCAACGCGGGTAATAACGGGTAGAGATCGCCATTGGAGAAGCAATTCAGGCAAGTATAGGGCAATAATTCAGACCTTGACAAATGTTGTATGTTAAAATGTCATTTGACGGCTATCTCTCAAAGTGACCGCCATTTTTGAAGCTTGTAGAGGTACCTACCTCTATCAAATTCAGTATAGCCATGACAAAGAAACTTATAATCTGTCTCAATGAGAACCCTTTTAGGCATTTACATTAACAATATCTTGACATACTAGGCGAATTTAAAGGTCATCTGGTGGCCATCTTGGAAAATAGCTGCAGTGGACAGGACTTTTTTCTTAAAATATAATATAAAATGAATATTTGAACCTAATTCCATGCTAGTATCATCAAATGAATAATTGATTATATTATCTGTTCTCTAAAGGGGGAGGTCATGTCTTTAGAAACTAAAGACTTACGCTGTCCTCTGTGAGGAATAGTGTAAGACTGTATTGCCCCCTTTCTAGTCAACAAGGCAGGCAAGTAGGTCGTTTTCCCAGTCAGACCAGTTCATGTCATAGATAGGAAATTCAGTAAGCGAGACGGAAACCATTCCGGTACAAGTATTAAGTGAGGTCAGTCAGGGTAGATAGTGCACGAGCTTGGGACTCAGATATAACTGTGACAAGGTGTCAGCAATCCAAAAGACTGTGAAGGGAAATTCTGCCTACTTGTTTTTGGAGAGATTGTTGGAGAAGGGTTTTGTCAGAGTACGAGGCTGTAGAGGGAATCACAAAGAATCGATCCCACTTGACTGGGTCAAAGAGAGCACTCAAAAGGTTTGCAGAGGTGGAAGCAGTAGATGGATAGAAGAAGGGGGGGATGATGGGGTGGTATGGTTTAGGTAGTACTGGTAGAAATTGAGGAGGGAGTATTAGTATCAGTGATCAAATCTGTGGTCAAAGGAGAGGCAAGGGTTAGAAAACCAATGAAATCAAATTTAGATAGGCCAGTTGATCATGGGGGCAGCCTTAATGCCCCTACTAAGGGTAGAACATCTTCATTATTGGCCACAGTGAGCCTGAAATAAGTGGGGAAAACGAACTTTATGGCAATGCTTAGGGTCCTCATAAGGGGTATGGGCTAGGCAATTAACCAAGGGAATACCATGCCGTTTTCTCCCAGAGGTCGTTCATGACTGACACTAAGTCAGCCTTTCATACTTTCAGTATGGCTCTCAAAACTTTGGAAACGGATAGAAGAAGGGAATGAAGAAGAGACAGAAAAGGAAAGAGGGAGAATGAAAGGGCATGCAAAACTAGTTAACCCACTTGTGCCAGGTGTCTCACATGTGAGACACTTGGAAAAAAACATTCCCAGGTGTCCCGCTGGTGCAACTCTAGATTGGAGCTTGCGCTCTGATTTTGTCGCCCATGGTGGGTGGTGGGCGTGCTGGCTCCCAGACTGGCCTGCATCCCAATTATGAAGGTGCCCAGAAACTATTATTTTTGGCTTGATAATGTACCAGTGCTAGTGGGTTAAGGCAAGGGCTGAGGTCCAAGGTAGGGGTGATCCCATACACTGGGGCCCAGCCTCTGTGTCTTAAGGCCCCCACAACAACGAGCAAGGATTGGGGGATTTTTATTACAAGGACTACCGATTACAAGGACATAACAGTAAAAAGGTTCAGAACCACTGATCTGCATGTAATTATGAGTATCTAATCATTCTTTTAAAATGGCAGGATGATTGGTTTCATTAAACAACAAATTCCAAATCAAGTAATCAAAAAGATGTATTTAAATAAGCACTAAAACCTAGACTACTTTTCTTGGATCTTCTGCAAAATATTAAGCTATTCTGACATTATGTTTGACCATGAAACATATATGAAATATCTTGAATTTTTTCAGGTATTATCAACTCATAATGTACATTAAAGAATATACTGTAAAAAAAAAATCTCATTTCATTCCAATTCCATTTCATTTATTCTACTCTATAGTACCTATTTCACAGCAATATTTTTCTTTCAGCATCATGTTATATAATCTCATCTTGTACTCATATATATAAATTTTTCCTTCATCTTTATAAATCATTCTGCCCTTTTCTATCTCTCGCATATCAAGCATAATGCAAATTCATATCCCCAAACAGATACCCCATACCTGTGGCAACATGCAGTGCTCCGACAGAACCTCATCCCACACAAAGTCCTGCAGCTTGTTGACAATGAGTTCGCCTGAAACATTTTTAAGGCCTTTCAGGGAGATGTCCTTCATCTTGGTCATGCCACCAGTGTCAACACGTCCTTCCACCAGGTCAAGGAAGCGTTCCCTGGAGGTTGATTTCGGGTGTGAGCATGTGCAAGCATAATGAGTGTGTACATAAAAGCAAAACCTGAAGATGATGTAGAGCAACTGAGGTTGACTTCTGATGCTGATGAATGGTATAATATTGATTTTAATTAGTTCTACTTAAACAAATCCAGACATATAAAAGGAACAGGGACAATGAAACACACACACACACACACACACACAC